TTGTGCACACGTGCTGTGTCCACATATAAAGACACTCCATGTGGGCCCAATACACGTGATCTGTAGCAGCCGTTGGAGACCAACCATTACATGACTTCGAATATAATTTATTAAAGGGTTGGAAAATTAATTTAATTTCTTCCTTTTTGTTTTTATGCTTAAATCAATTTGGTCTCGACATTGCAAAGGTTGTAGATTATAGGGTAAGCATAAAAAATATCCTATATTTCTCTTTTAAAAAATAAAATAAAATTGTGAAATTATTTAAAAATCCACATCTACAACTATTTTCTCACAATTTATTTTTACACAAAATGCCTTTGAGTTGTCACGGACCTAATAGGTCATTGATGGCTTAAGGCCAATCTCTTTATTCCCATGGTGCTGAAAGGACCATCAAAGTCCGTGATGACGCTTATTGATGAATTGCCAGGATCTTAGTAGGACCGCGATGGTCCTTCATCCCACAATCCATCAAGGACCATCATGGTCGCTGTAATGGTCTGTCAATGAGGAACGGTCCTAATAGGATAATGAAGCTCGATGGCGTGGATCAAGACCATCACGGTTCTATTGGATTGTGATAGTCCGCGGGGGCTCAAGAGTCTGGCCTGGCTGAAAGGTCTTTGGACCATTACACAGTAGATAATAGGCCCGTGATTATTCTTCATAACTTGAGCATGAATTGGGTTTTTAGTTAACGTGCATGCTGCTGCATTTTCACGTTAAGGGTTCGAATCTCATCATATGCAATTTAAATTTTTTATTTTTTTTGATAAAAAGATGACTCTTCATAACTTGAGAAGTCTATGAAGGGCATTTTGGATAAAAAAAATTAAACCATGACAAAATAGGTATGAATGTAGATTTTTTAAAAAACTATATATATATATATATATATAACTTTTAATAACTATCCTAGATTATATCAAACAGTCGTTAATTTAATAGAGAATGGGGTCGTTAGATGGATAGTATGCAATAAAATAAAATGGAAATAAGTAGAATTTAAGAGGTGTGAGAGCGCCTCATTTAAATTGAAAAGACCAAGGTATCCGTGGCCTTTCTCTCAACAATTTTCCTCTCTCTCTCTCTCTCTCTCTCCTCCATCTTCATTGAATTGATCTAATTTACTCGTGAAAGTAGGATAGTGGGGTCCCCCACACCCGGACAACAATCTCTTTCTCTCTCTTAACAAATTTCTCTCACCTCTCTCTCTAGGTGAAATAGAATTGATTCATATACGGGTGAAATTATGGATTTACCCATCTCTTAAAGATATATCTTTCCCCTTAAAGGTAACTTTTTTTCTTTCATTTGCCTATGAGACTTTATACTATGTGTAACACACGTGTTTCTTTTTTCAAGTGTGTTGATATATAAAGTATGGTGATACTTGTATCGTAAATTAATTGTATTGATATATGAAGCATGGTGATACTCGTATCATATAATTTTAAAATCTATATGCTTATTTGTAAATTTATTACTGAAATTTCACTTAATATATAGTTAGTCACCTAGAATGACATGTCATGTTTGAAAAATTCAATTTTGTAATTAACACTACTATTTTTTGACACTCGTATTTCTGTCCCACATTGAGACACGTTTGTATCTATATAGCAAATGCTTAAACTCTCAATGTTGTACTACGTTTTTTAAATTTGGGCCATTTATTAAAATATTCCTAAATTTTGAATTGTTTAATATTTGGACGCGGTTTGTATGCGGTCAAGCTTGTATATGTAGAAATGCGGGCCTCTTAATGAATCTATTTTGGAGATGGATTTTAAGACTTAATTTTTAAGGACATGTAATCTCTAACACGGAGATCGTGAATATGAAAAAATAAATAAATTTTAAAAACTATTAATAATAATTCCAGTAAGAAAATATTTGGACAGTTAGTTTTCATTGTTTTAGATGGAACACCTACTTGCATCCATCTTTAAGATGGATGCTTTACACTTTGTGGACCAGGTATATAGGGATGCGGTCTAGCTCGCATTAAACAAATTTCCTTAATATTTTATCCTAGATATGTGGTTTGTTGGGCTATTTGAAATTTGACCAACAGAAAAATATAAGCAATTTAAAAGTAGATAAAATCTACACATGACATATCGAACGACTCAAATCATAAAATCATAGGAGTCATTTGATAAATTTATTTAAAACTAAAAATTTAGTCCAATCTGGGTAACTTTGGCCATTATGCCAAAGGCTATACCAACTAGGATAATTATGTGTGTTTTTTAGGGTGGTAAATATGATAATTATGTGTTGATCGTCGAAGACCTTTAAGTGGGATTTTGTAGCTCCTGGCCTAAATATCGCATTAAATTTGGTTGATGTAATTTAATTTAGGAAAACGTTTATAGAAGGTTGACACTTTAAAATGTAGAATTAAGATGCACCTCTGCAATCCTTTGGAAAAGGTTGTTTGGATGCAGAAAAAACGTTTAATTAATTATCTTGACAGCGAGATGTATGGATATGGTGAAAAAAAGAGATTGCGAGTTTTTAGAATGGTGCATCTTGTAATACATCATCTGGAACGTTTGTTTTTTTAATTTTAATGCATATATAGATCTACTTGATTTGAACCATTTTAGAGTTTAAATTTTCTAATTAGAGATGAAAGTAAATTCTCGCACCATCTTAAAAAAAATTTACCCTAAAATGATATCTCGTGACAAAATTTACGTATGCACCTTAATTTGATTGTTTAAAGTTGTGACCTTATACAAACCGCAGCTTTTAATTTATGGTGCCATTTAACCATATTAAGTCTCATTTTCCAAAAAAGTTTATGGGTTGCTAAACGAAAAAGGAAAAAAGAAAAGAAAGTTGTTACAAACGCAACTCCCAATTTTTAATGGTGGTTATTCTAAGCATGGGCTAAATTTATTTAAAATAATGATTACCATTTCCTATTCTAGGCCAAGATGTTCATTCCCCACTCATCTATCAAAAAAACAAACAAATCCATTCTCCACACCTCCACGATGTAACAGTTTTTGAACTATCTATTTTAGTTTATCAACGAATTTCATGTTTATTTTTTGAACTGGTTAGGAGATGCGAGTTAATTCGAGTGGAAGCCTAAAAAAGAGCAAGAGGTAAGCTCCAAAAGATATGGTTAGAATTAGTGAGAAAAAATATGGAGACTTATGATCTCAATGAGGGTATGACCTTTAATATTACAGAATACCGGATCATGATTCATGTAGCCGACCCCAATTAATTAGAAAAAGGTTTCAATGACGATGATAATGATGAATCATCCAATTTAGACCACTCATGGAGCTCTAAAGCCATCTAATAGGAGTGGAATTAAAACTGCAGGGCTTGAATTCATTACTCTATTGTTCCACCATGTAATACCTAGGGGATCGCATTCATATGAGGTCTGGCCCGAATCTCTCCCCCATATGTACTGTAAATATATGGGAAAACGATATAATATGACTACTTATGTCTTGTATGAGAAGGTCACAATCACTTTTACTTATTAGTTGCACAATGAGGCGATTAAAGCCATATTATTAATCGACTCGAACTAAAATAAATTTTTTGTTGAACTATGTCAAATAATCCTAATTGATTCACCTTAGTGCTTGCCTGAGTCTTCTCAGATGTGAGGGTGAGTCAATGGGGAGAAGGGTGCTTTACCATGATAGAAATTGAGCCTGGGACATAGCGTTGCAAATCTTCAAGAGCCAATTAAGCCCGGCCTCTTTCCTTAACCCTCAAGGCTTGCCTTAGCAAAATCAAGTAATTCGGATTTGAGAGCTAATGAATCCCGCTCGAATCCATATTTTTACTCATCAACTATTTAACATTTTATCAATTTTCAACAACTCCAATTCACAATTGTATCTACTTTGATGGAATTTTTGGATCTAAATAAAAAAGGAAAAAGTTTATATAAGGATGCTACCTTATAATGTAGTACTACAGATGCCCATAAAAAATCCATCGAAAAAGGTAGTTTTAATGTTGAAAAACCCTTTGATTGATTATCTCGACATCGAGATATATGAATATGACAAATAAGAAGATTTTAAATCTCAGAAATATTGCATTTTACAACATATTATTTACACCGTCCATTTTCAAGATTTTCATATGTTTATAGATCTACTTGATTTTAACCAGTTTTTAAATTTAAAAATTTATAATTAGATATAAAAATAGATTTTGAGGATAAGAGTAATGATCCTATGAGATCCTCCCACACCCATGTGTGTAGGACCCCAAAGGATCACCATTAAATTTTACACAGATCTCTAGAAAAATTATCAAATGGGTGTGAGACTTGATTTTTTTAGAGATCTGTGCTAAATTTAATAGTGATCCTTTGGGGTCTTACACACATGGGTGTGAGAAGGTCTCATAAGATCATAACTCTTGAAATAATCCTAACAATATTTTACATCAAAATTATATACCATGATAAAATTTGAAGGATACCGTATGTACCTCTACACCTATAAACGCCTTCATATGCCAACTACAGCCAATAAAAAATAATAAATGTTACATAATTCATCTCTTATATACATGTTGATAAATTTCCCTAGTTTTAGACACTGCACAAATTTAATGCATTTCCTCAAATACAAACCCATAAGACCCTCTCTCTCTCTCTCCTTTTCTATCCATTAAATTATGTCCTCTCTCTCAATTTATTTCCTTCTCTTCCTCATTTTCTGCCCTTTATTCAATGCCTATTCGTCTCAGAAGTCACATGTTTCTTTCCACATTTACAATACTTTACTAAAATTGAACTTTAAATAAAGGCACCACAGTTAGCACAAGTCTAATACTCCTTAGTATTTTGGTAATTATTTCTCTAAAAGGACATTAAGCAAAACAAAAAATATATGAACAAAACAGACCACAAAAAACTTGGGTTACGTCTTAATCAGGCAGACAAAGCAGAAAAGCTTCACATGTTATTCTGTCCCATTATTCATTCATTCATATTTAACCCCACCATCTTACCAAAGCCCATCACTGTCTGAGCAAACCCTAGAACTCTCTCTCTGCAACTCCATTGCATAATTTAATGGCGGATTTTGAACCCTAAGTCGTTTTCTAATTGTTGAACGCCTGATATTTGTTTCTGACAATTTCATCGGAAAACTCCCATTTCACACCTTTTTCCGGCAGTAATGATCGCATGCTCTTTTTCGGTTGTTATTAGGGTTTAGTGCCTTTAATTGTTGTTTTCAAGGCTTGCGATCAGTGGAATTGGGGTTTGGTCTGCGCTAACTCGCGCTTTAACTTATTTCCTATTTTCTTGAAGCGTTTTTACTGAGCTATTTGCTGGTTCGATCAGTTACAGTGTGATTTAGTGGTTCAGTGTTTTGGAGTTTCTAGGGTTTTTAATCCATGCAATGTAACTACTTTTGCTCATTGTTTTGAGCTATTTCTTCTGAATTTCTACAGTGTGTGGTTACAGTTCTTGTACAAATGTTGCCAACTTGAAATATAGGGCTAGTACTGCTCGATGTTGGTAATGGTGGTTCCATGTCCAGTGTTTTCTGCTAAATTTCCTCTATTTTGTATATAGTTTCAGTGCTTATCAGTAAAAGCACTGGTGCAAAGTATTAATACTGGTCGATGATGGTGATGGCGGCCAGATTTCTGGGATTTCTTAGGGTTTTAGTGATTCTATGCTTCCTGGTACATGGAAATGGCGAAATTTACATAGTCACAGTCCAAGGGGAACCTGTTGTGACCTATCAAGGAGGCATTGATGGGTTTTCTGCAACGGCCATTGATTCTTCTTCAGGAGTCAAGATGGATACAACCAGGTAAGTAAATGACCTGCTTTGTCTGTGTTTTTAATCGGAAATTCGGCTAGAGAGTTGGGTTTTTGCCGGAAAATGATCGTATTTTTTTGCCAGAGCCACCAAAAACTACATGAATTTTTTTTATTCCAATATATTTCCCTTCTTTTTGACATGTCGGGCCAACTGCAATTTCGGGTTTTGTCGGTATTTTGCTGATAAATTCGCCAATTTTTGGACACTGGAGTGGACCGATATTTTGATCTTATTCAGAAATCTTATACGAGTACTTAGCCATTACTAGAAATATTGGGAGATTGGGGTTTCAGGAATTTCCCGAAATTTCGTCTAATATTTCGTCACTATTCGTCGTATTTGATTATGTTCACCTGAAAATTCGAATACAGTTTCTCCCGAAACTTTTGCCACTGCCGATATTTATTCTTCTGTTCTTTTTCGAGCGAAACTTTCGGAGAATATGATATCTTTCGGCAAATTTTGCCCCACATATTTAACCCGATATTTTCCTACACTTTTTCGGATTGAGAAACCGAATTTTAAATTTTCAGTATGTTGCTTTGTATTGTTTCGTCAAATTTCAGCTGATATTTCGGTTAAGTTCAGGTCCAGCTTATATTTTTTTTGTACTTGTACTTTTAGCCTGGCCATTGAAGTTTCTGATGGTGGGGCATTAGGTCATAAATGGGAAAAATTTAGGGCAGTATAGTCATATTGGAGCATGGATGGACGCTGGTTTTTGGTAGTTTATGCAAATACTGGTCAAGTGACTCAACAGGTCGTCAAAGAAAGAATAAATATTTGGACCAAATCTGAATTGACGACATTGCCTTTTATGATGAAAAAATTAATATAAACCAATCCAGCAGGGAGGGGGGCCTGAGGTTGGGGGAGGGAAGAAAAATTAAAGATTAATTCCTTCCAGGCCATGGATTGTGATCTCAAAGTCTGGATTTTGATTCTATGGGGACCTGAAATTTTTGGCAAACTTTGTGATCCATGTACCATGCCTAATTTGGCCATGGATTGTGAACTCAAACTTTGGATTTTGATTCTATGGGTACCCGAAATTTTTTCCGGAATTAGTGATCCTTGTACCATTTCAGTCAGCCATTAAAACCTTTAAAGGAGGCTACAAACTTCAGATTAGCAGTTAGTGTATGCCCCTCAATTTGGTATGAAATAATCAAGCCTAAAATTTAGTCATGTTCATTAAAAATTGGATTGAACAGTTTTATTTTGGAAATCTTTAAATGTCTTTTCTTGAATACATGTTTACCATTGTGAATGATAGAACAATAGGGAAACTCGTCTGCAATATCGATTGATTTCCTCCAAATTTTACAGGATAGTCGAATATCATAAGCTGTTTGATTTTAACATTCTCTACTGCTCTTTTTTATTTGTTTCCCAATATGGGTTAGGAAATTGACACTTGAAACCGTTTCTTGTTTTCTCACTTGTCATTCTGACTCTTTTGGCAGTGAACATGTCGTATCCTATTCCCAACACCTTGAAAAACAACATGACACTCTTCTAAACTCGCTTTTTGAGAAGGGATCCTATGAGAAGATTTACAGCTATCGTCATCTTATCAACGGCTTCTCTGTTCATTTATCACCAGCGCAGGTCAATTAGATTATTGTGCCAATTTTCTTTTGTTGTTTTTTGTTTTTTGGTTGAGTAAGTGGGGAGAGGGCCCCTAACCTTGGTAGGAATTGAGCCTAAGATGTGGTGTTGCAAATTGCAAGCACTAACCAATTAAGCCCAGGTTCTTTTCCTATTATTATACTAATTTTTGCCAACAACTTCTACTCTTTCCGTTAATAACTAACAACTACTATACTTTAACATATTTGAAAGCATACTATAATCAAATTGACTATGGAAACCAGAGTCTATTGAGGTCATTATTTCCCAATAAAATTGATACTAAGAGAGAATGGGCCCCTAACAACTTGGGTCATTTCCTGTTCTGATGAGGTCGCCCTCTTTCCATCACTGTCCATTTCATTGGTTGGTGATGACCTCAGTGGTGTACATTGGATTATCTTATTCTATTCTTCTACTTAAATAATGTAACTCGGCAATAACCAATTATCACAAAAATAAGGAGTAATTTTTAGTCATTAGCTTTGCCTGAGTTTTCTCCATGTCATTTCTCTCTGTCATTTGTGAATGCCTAAAAGGCAGAAGCACTTAATAAAGATCCTAAAGTGAAACGGGTGGAGAAGGACTGGAAGGTCCAGAGGTTAACAACTCATACACCACAGTTTTTGGGTCTCCCAACTGGAGTTTGGCCAACTGGGGGTGGTAGTGAGAGAGCTGGTGAAGATGTTGTGATCGGATTGATTGACTCGGGCATATATCCAGAACACCCAAGCTTTGCGAGCTACAATTCTCCGTCATATGGGCCTCTTCCAAGTTATAGGGGAAAGTGTGAGATTGATCCGGCCACCAAGAGGGACTTTTGCAATGGGAAGATTGTTGGGGCCCAGCATTTTGCGAAAGCCGCAATTGCTGCTGGATCATTCAATCCTGCAATTGATTTTGCATCTCCTTTGGATGGTGATGGCCACGGAAGGTTGGTATATTTCATCACCTTGTAATATTTTGATCATGAAATGTTTAAGTCACAAACGGCTGTTTCAAAAAAAAAAGTTACAAACGTGACCTCTATATTATGATATGTTGTATTGCTGCTAAAAGTCATAAAATCTGCTGTACCTATGTTCTAATGATTATTATTTAAGTTGTTGAATTTGCCTTTGATGTGGGCCTAGCCATTTTTTTCCCCAGAGATGTCTAATTATTGATTTCAGAGGTTTTATTTAATTATAATTAATAATTAATTACTTGTAGGCCTTTGATGTAATTTTTCTATTGTTGGTTTTTGTGTTTTTGGATTTGATTGTTGGTCCAGTCACACAGCAGCGATCGCTGCCGGAAATAATGGGATTCCTGTGAGAATGCATGGTTATGAGTTTGGTAGAGCAAGTGGGATGGCTCCTCGTGCTAGGTAAGATATTTTAGCATGACCGTGATCATTTTTTTTCTTCTTTTCCATGTTTTCGTTCAGTTTCAGCTTGAGATTATTTGCCAGGTTAAATTTTCTTCTTATGTATTTTTTAGGATTGCTGTATACAAGGCCATTTACAGACTTTTTGGCGGATTTGTTGCAGATGTGGTCGCCGCTATTGATCAGGTACTTAAATAAATTTAGGGAATTTATCAAAATACTTATGAAAGATGAACTGTTTGACATTTCATCCATATAGTTTTACTTTATTTCAAAATACCCAAGAAAAGGCATATTATCATGAGTTGCAATTGTTGCAAATGTATAAAATATTAAATAGTGCATCTCTCATGGGTACTTTGATTAATTTGCCATAAATTTAAAATGGTGGTTGGGTAGGCTAGGCATATATGGTTTTTCATAAAATGAGAAGTGCACTTCTGAATTGGAAAAATAAACCAATTTGTAATTACCTTGGTTTTCTGAGAATATTAGAAAATTGGCCACTTTGTCATGATGATCATTAAATTTGTTACGGTAAATGGTGTTAAAAGTTTGAAGGTTTCAAGGACTTCCCAATCAGAGACTGGCGTATGCATTTTAATATCAGAAAAGTCTTATTAGGTATTTTCTGTGACAGAATGTGTAGATTTCATGTTTACTTCTGTATTGTGATAGAAGCCACCCTAAATGTTCATCTGCCTCATATTCCTTTTTGTTCCAGTTAATGTATTTTTATACGACTTCTAGGTTAACAGAACAATTGCCATTTCATAGAAAGGTGTTGGATTCTTCATATAGAGTTTTGGCTATTTCTTGAAAGTTTGTGTTTTTCTGATTCCAATATAATAAGGGGTATGTGGATAATTTAATCTATTATCTCATTGAAGTATCCGTTTGAAACTCTGATGCCCTATTGTCACTGGCATTGACCATTTTTTTCTTTTCTTTTGAGTGAGTATCTTGGGATGGGACATTTCTGAAAAGCTTTCTTGAATAATTTTCATAACCAGGCTGTTCAGGATGGTGTGGACATTCTTAATCTCTCAGTTGGCCCAAACAATCCACCAGCCACTACAAAGACAACATTTCTGAACCCTTTTGATCTGGCGCTTCTTGGGGCTGTAAAAGCTGGAGTCTTTGTTGCCCAGGCAGCTGGAAATGGAGGTCCATTCCCAAAAAGCATGGTGTCTTTCAGTCCATGGATAACATCAGTAGCTGCTGCAGTTGATGATCGCAGTTACAGAAATCATATGACTCTCGGCAATGGCAAACTGCTTCCAGGGATTGGCCTGGCTCGTAGGTTTATCCCTTTGTGTTTTTTTGCTTCCACTGTTAACACAACGTTTGGTACTCCAAAAATATCTCTGACAGATTGTTAAGCATGGTGTTATTGCGACCTTACATGCTATACTGCAGCTGTCAATCTGTTCAATTGATCTTCAGGACGTGCTCTGTTATAATGTTGCTTAACTTAATCGCCAATACTTTGATTTCTTTTGGTTGTTGGAAACCCCATATGTTTAATGGATAGTAATGACATTACTTTTCTCTACGAACTCTTTGACTTGAGCTTATCACTGCAGCTGCGACACACAGCAATCAAACATACAAACTTGTTGCAGCAAATGATGCCATGTTGAACACTTCAGATATATTATTGAGCCCTTCAGATTGTCAGAGATCTGAAGATTTGGACAAGAGTTTGGTGGAAGGAAATATCCTTGTTTGTGGGTATTCATTCAATTTCATATTGGGAGGAGCATCAATTAGAAAAGTATCACAAACTGCCAAGAATCTGAGTGCTGCTGGTTTTGTTCTTGCGGTAGAGAATGTCTCTCCAGGAACCAAATTCGATCCAGTTCCTGTTGGTATGCCAGGAATTCTCATCACAGATGTTACAAAATCAAGGGTAAATTTTTTTCTTTAAACACATTCAGTTCTTATTCTATGTTTATGAAGGTTATACTTTGATCAATTGCATGCTTGCACTCACAAAAATAGGACACAATCTCTCTCTCTCTCTCTCTCTCTCTCACACACACACGTGTGGACACATACCAAAAATAGATTGATAGATAGAGTGGTTTTCTTCTTCAACTCATCAAATAAAAGTTCTCAGGCATATAGTTTTTATGTAATTGCAGGACCTCATAGAGTATTACAACAGTACTACCATAAGAGATAAATCTGGTCGAGTGACCAGTTTTAGAGGAACAGCTATTATAGCAGGTGGCTTGACTCCTGTTTTCCATAAATCGGCGCCCCAGGTTGCTATTTTTTCTTCAAGGGGTCCGGATGTGAAGGATTTCAGCTTTCAGGATGCTGATGTTTTGAAACCGGACATATTGGCACCGGGTTCACTCATTTGGGCAGCATGGACCCCGAATGGCACTGATGAAGTGAACTACATGGGTGTGGACTATTTCCTTTGGTCTCTTTAGTTCTGGCAAACGCTATGGAAGTTGAACTTGTCAATATTTTCTTGTTGATAAGCGTTAACATTTTGAGCTTGTTAATATTTGATACCAGGATTCCATCATTTCTAGAAAATTTTACATAAATGCTAGTGGTTCTGGAAGGACTCAGCTATTTTAAGTTTTTCTAAAAATATACGACATATTTTTTTTTCCCAAGCATTTTCTTCAAACCTCTTGGTAAAGGGAGGAGATGCCCTAAACACTTGCGAGGAAAGAGACAACCCCCCTCCCCTGCTCCCTCAGAATAATAGAAACAAGGAAATCAAAAAAGGAAAAAAAGAAAAGTAAAGAAAAGAAAATGTGAGCTCCACATGTATAATTGTTTGCAATGTTCGTATAAGTGTGTGTTATGGGATAGAAAGGTTGGGCATTCTGGACGTCGGAATCTGTCAAAGTCTTTGGCCGTCTCAAGAAAGTGAACTTGGGTTTCTCTCTCTCTCATTGCATTGTTGCGTGTGTTTGGCTTATTTTTCTTTGCATATGGGGCATTGATGACTCTAATTCTTTTTGCTGATATGGATACGAACAGGGGAAGGGTTTGCAATGATATCGGGAACTAGCATGGCAGCACCTCATATTTCAGGCATTGCTGCCCTGATAAAGCAGAAGCATCGCGATTGGAGCCCTGCTGCCATAAAGTCAGCCTTGATGACCACGGCCACCACTGTTGATCGTGCTGGCCGACCCCTTAGGGCCCAACAGTACACTGGCCTCCAGGTCCAAACCCTTGTTCCTGCCACTCCATTTGACTATGGAAGTGGAGCTGTACACCCAAGAGCTGCTCTTGATCCTGGCCTTGTCTTTGAATCAGGTAGGCTTTCACCATCCGTAGGTTATTTAACTATAATGATTATTAGTTACCTCCAAGGTTTCCATGTTAGCCTTTTTAGCTTTAGAGAGTATATTGCTTATTAATCTTTTCTCTGTAGGTTAATATAGAAGATTGACTCTTTCAGAGGGAACTAAACTAGTGCAGTTTTGTTTTTGTTCGAGAATTGGTAGCTTTGAAGTAGTTAGTCCTTCAACATTATTATGATTTTGAATTTTGTTCTTGTTACAAGTGGTTTCACCACGGAGGCTTCTTTATTAAGCCATGTAGCTTTTTTTTGGTTAAGTTATTAATCCATGTAGCTTCCTATACTATAATGCACATTAATTCGTTTTAATAGGTGGATAAATTAATTCAGTTTTTTACTATAAGGACCATTAAAATTCATATTTTAACTTATTTTAATTTACTTGAAAGTATAGAAAATGGTTCTGCTTTCTTTTCGTAACACAGTCCTAGATAGTGGCTTATACCATCGAGGATTAGTTATCTGCATGGACAGAATTGATTTCCTATATCTCTCAGCTTGCCTGTCAGATTATTACTTGCAGATGTCCCTCGCTCTCTCTCTCTCTTTGTTTGCTTTTTTTGGCCTTGGTCACCTTGTAGGCTCACAATATCTTGATGCACCTTTTTCAAACATGGTTCAGACACTTTTAAAGATTTTGAGAGAGAGAGGAACTCTTTGAGAAAATAATTGTGCCACTAGTAGAGTTTAAAGGTCATCTATAACTCAAAAAGGTCTGTTAGCAAAATGGGATGATAGGGTTTTGAACCCTTCTTTCCAAGAGATTCTCTACATGCAATAATTTGTACATTCTCTCTCTCTCTCTTCCCCCCCAATGTTCTACAAAGTGTGTCTCTCTGATTAACAGCATATGAAGACCACATAAAATTCCTCTGTTCTGTGCCTGGGATCAACCAGCAAGAGGTTAAGAACTTCACAGGCTCAAACTGCAACCCACATAGCGGTTACCCAACTGATCTGAACACGCCATCCATTGTCATTTCAAACCTAGCAGGGACCCGAACTGTGGTTAGGAGTGTGATGAATGTAGCAGAAACAGAGAGTTACAGCACAACCACCTATATTGCTCCTGAAGCTTCACTGATGGTGAGCCCTCCTGCAATGACGCTCGAGGCTGGGGCAACCAGGAATTTCACTGTGACTGTTAGTGTGAGATCGGTGACAGGGACTTACTGCTTTGGTGAGGTTCTACTCAAAGGAGACAGGGGACACATGGTGAGGATCCCTGTTGCTGTTTTGGGTGTCAGTACTTAGGTTTGAATGCTCTCTCTCTCTCTAACCCAAAAGCGCTGCTTTGGTGAGGTTCTACTTGAAAGAGAGAGGGGACACAGGGTGAGGATCCCTGTTTTCAGTGTCCGTGACTCGGTCTCTCCCTCTCCAATTCAAAAACAAAATGCTCCCCATCACCAACCAAAACATTTCATTCTCTTTCTCTCAGGACTTGACACTCAAAATCACCTTGGCCGTTTACAGGCCTCTTCATTAACCTTTAGCTCTTTCTCTCTCTCTCGCTCTCTCTCCGTTTTGTTTTACCATATGAGTTTTGTGATTATATCATGTATTCTTTGTAATCTGACGGAATAAGCTATGAGTGATGTAATTTATATAAATATTAGAGGGGGACTGTTGTGCGCTGCTTCAGGAGAGAACACAACCTGTTTCTTCTCAATAAAGCTTTTTACTGTAATTGTGTATGGAAATCAGAATGCAATACTACGACAAATTTTGTCTTTCTGGATTCTGATGGTTTTGCTTGTTGGATGTGTGGCCATTAAAGGGTCTTTGTAAATAAATTTATATAGTGGAACGTGAATTTAGTCGGAGTGTGATCCTTTGTAGATCATATTAAGTAAACGATGTTTGTTGATACTGGACGAGTGCTGCTTTCAACACGCATCTTAGTGAATATATTAATGGTAAATGCATGGCTGTTTCCCACTTTCCCACTTAAGACGATACTATGAACTTGTTTTTTATGACTTATTTGAAGCCTCAAGTTTTTATCTTTGGACCAAGTCACTAAATTCCCATAACACAGGCAATTTTGGCCATAATGAGAGTGAGAATGTTCACCATGTCAGAGAGAGAGAGGGGGGAAAGAAAAAGAGGGGAGCAGGGAGTTCACCATGATTACAGTAAGAGATGGGCAATTGATAATGGTTACATTAAAAAACAAGCTCTATTTTACCCAAAATCTATTTGTCAGTGTTTTTTTTGAGAGAGAGAGAGGGAGAGGGAGAGGGGGAGGTAGGTTGGGATTGAGGGGTGGCAATTAACCACGATTTCTTTAAATCAGAAGCTCTATCAAAATATTCTCCAATTGTGAAAGATACAACTTTGATTACTAGTTCACTACTAAGCACGCCTGTGGAAAACAAAAAGGGAGCCTCTAGATCCCTTGCCCAGTCTCACCTTCTCATCTATGTAAGTGATTTTCAGTTTAACTTCACTCTCACCACCATACTCAAACTCCAAAGCCCCGACCTTCAATTGTGGGGGCTCAAAGATTACTTGTATCCATTTATCATCCAATGCAATGAGCTTACCTAAGCCATGCAAAATACACATTGATGTAAGTTTTTGTTTAGAACAATATCAAGGTCAGGCTATTCTTTTTAGGTAATTAAGTGGGGATGACATCTGTTTTTGAAAAGGTCAGTGGTTTTTGAAGATATCAGAAGCCAAACCATGCATGCAACTGAGGTATGGGATGTGCTACCATTACCACCTCAGCCCTTTTCCTAGGTCAACCCACTTGGAAAAAACAAAAATCAATGAGGTGGTTACATATCTTTTCACTTGGATTCCGCCTTGAATTTTATGTGAAAAAATGCCTAAATCGTCTTGGAGTTTATGATATCTCTTCACTTGGGTGGCACCTTAGCTTTTTTGCCAAGAAGTACCCAAACTGCCTTGTTTCAGATTTAGAGTCCTAAACAAGCGAGGATGTTTTGCTAAATAAGTCACTGTGCCAATTGACTTAAACACCTGTGCTTGGTTTTGATTCCAAGTTAGGAAGAAGTTTTTCCTATTAAAATATCTTGTTCAAGCTTTCTATTGACATTGAGGCAGGTGAGTCATGATAATGCCCAGCATGGATAGCGGGAAAATGCGAAACAAAAAGGAGACTTGAAAACCAAAAAATATGCAGGTTATTGGCTTAGGTGACTAAAGTGGGGCTAAATTCTCAAAATGCCCTTGCTTGTTCCAAGTTTTAAAGTAGGAAAATAAATTTTTAATAAAAACATATTCTCAAATTAGGAATTTAAAACATACAGGAGTATTTAAGTTATTTGGCCAAAAAGACTTAAGTGGCCCGAATTGCCAAGATAACTTCCATCAGTTTAAAGGTGATCTAGGTATTTTAACTAAAGAAGAGATTTATATAAGGTTGTAAACTTTCTTATAGAATTAAGGTTACAATATGCCGTCTATTTTATTTATATAGTTTAGATTTGTCATTGTCTTAAAAAATGTACTTTTTTTTTACACTATCTTAAACGATATGACCAATCTATACCATCTGATTAAAATGAACGGCATAGAACATTGCAACCTTACTTCTATAAATAACTCCACAAATAAGTTACCACTTCATACAAACCACACCTTAACCAATTTGTTGACAATGTAACTTAATGAAAGAATTTTCTAGAAGTAATCGCTTTGTCGGTAAAGTGATTGATTTACGCATGTTTTTTTCTTAATTGCACCTACCACTACCATTATTTAGGCTTCTTTCTTAAACATGTATGGTTCCTTATACGAACGAGAGAGATCCATTTCTGTTTCTTTCTTTTTACCTTTTAAGGAAACCTCTCCATTGAGGAAACCAAATATGGAGAAGGTGACTTTGTTGTAGACATAATCAGGAGCTTTCACTGTCTGAACCATCTCCTCTGTTTTAAATATGAGGCGACCAATGGCACTCCGATAACCACCTCCAGGTGATGTAGGATTTGAGCAATACACAACATCCCACTCTGAGTCACATTCAAGAGAAACAATACGGGAAATGTTGATAGTTATAGTAATCAAATATTAAGTTTCCTATATTCAGTTATTTTGTGGGATTGTAATTGTAATGGAATTTATTCCCTAAAGGGCAAGAGTTGTAACTCTATAAATCTTTGGCAAACGAGAGTAATCCTTATGTCTTGTTGATTTTTTTTCTCTCTTTTTTTTTCTCTATTTTTTTATTATTGCAAATTCTACAAAAAACTCCAAAACAAAAAAACTAGAAAAAAAAAATGCATTGGTGTATGTATGGTACACCACATGGGTATTCACTTAGGGGTGGTAGAGGGGTCAGGTCTAAGGTTCTTGAAGGCCATCATGAAGCGGAGATTGCGGTTCATCACCACTGTCAGTTCAAGGGCTGGATGGTGGATGATCCCATGGATTACAATCAAATTAAGGTACGCCTCAATAATTCACTAAAAGAGGATGTTTCGATGTTAAAAAAGCCTCAAATCCATCATCTCGACCTCAAGATGGATGAATACGAGAAAAAACAGATTTCAAGTATTGAAAATTGTGCATCTTGTAATGCATTTTTAGACCGTTAATTTTTAAGATTATCAAATGTTCATAAATTTGTTCGATCTATACTATTTTTGAAGCTTCAAATTTTATAATTAAAAATAAAAATATATTTTCAGACCATCATAAAGATTTACGATTACTGAAATAACACCTTTCGATACTATTTCAAAGTGTACCTTACTTTGATTGTTTAGAGTAGAGTCTCACCCTTTATAGAAACCACACCCTTGCGTGCTATGGTGACCATTTGCTACAAATTCTCAAGGCCATTGTTTCTTCTCTAAAAAATAACACCTAGTGCCTGTGCTAGTGAATATTTAGAGAAAAGGATATCAAGGTATAAAGTAGGGTTTTCAGCAATTTACCTCCAAATATAAGAGGATTCTTGACCGGCTGAGAGACACAAAATTCCCCCAATTTCTGTGCCAGTTCAGCTACATTTTTGTGGTCATCTTTGGCAAGCATAACACCCCTATCAGTGTTCACCACCTAGAATAAAACGCACAAATTTTTAGCAATAAAAATATTCATTAAAATGCTATATAATAAATCATCAAGAGTAAAAATGGGCAAAATAAATAGGTTTTAAAATAAGGGAATCTTGTCGAAATAGGCCCATAATTTTAACTATTTTAAGGGATTGTATAATATGAGACCATCTTTTTTTTTTTTATACAAAGAGATCACAATTATCTTTAGTTATTCGATGTGAAATCTAATGGATGAAAGTGTATTATAATATACAAAAAAATTTGTTTTTAACTTTCTGCCTAAATAATGATACATTGTCAACCACCCGATTTCAAAACTAATGGTTAATAATGATTGTGGCCTCCTTGTATCAAAAGTAAATGGTCTCATTGTATACATTCTTTTAATATTTTACTTTTTTTCAACCATTCAAACTCATGATCATGTGTTTTTTGATGGCTTTTGAAATTAAATGAAAAAGAGATAAAAAAGTAAAATAACAAATATCTTATACGTACAACGTCCCATGTAAAAATGCTCCAATTTTTTGTTGCTTTAAAATTAATTGATTAGAGAGAAATTTATCAAAATGCATCTAAATTATCAACTACTCACTGTACCATTTTCAACTTTTTCAACTCATGATCACGTGTTTTTTGTTGGTTTTTTTTGTAATTAAATAATAAAATGAGTAAAATATTAAATAGTTCATCTTTTAATATTAGATAGTTCATCTCTTTAAGTGTATTTGGATAATTTCTTTTGATTTTGAGATTTCTCTTTCCTAGAATCACATGCACAAAACACTTGGGTTTCTATTGCCACGATGTTTAGCAGGATCCAGATCGGCTTGATCGATTCTTGAGTCTTAATTCAGATTGGCAGGTTCTCACTCAGATCACTGGTTTTTAAAACCCTACTTTTTTCATTTGAAAATTAGGATCCACTTTAAAATGACATAATGAGTATATTGAGAGAGAGAAAAAAGAAGAGTATGTTCCTCAAAAATTGGATAGTCTATCGCATTAGGGCAATTTTTTTATAGCCCCAGTGTGCATATAGATGGTATTTTTTAATGTCACTGGGTTGAGTAAATCACATAATTTTAAGTCCTAAAAACTAGCTAAGAGTTTGCTTGAAGGAGCATATGTACCACTTGGGCAGACTTTCTTCTCAAAACCTACTTTGTTTTTGTTGAAAGGATAAACAATTTATCACAAATATACTTAATTTTTTTCTATTTAGAAAAAAAATCCTCAACTCTTATAAACCTTGCAAAACCTTTTTTCTTAAATTATGGGACTTTTTTTGACTAAAATGACCTTCATATTACCGTGAAGCACCATTTAAAGTACCGTAACGGAGTTGAAATCTTATTACAAACTCCAAATACCGTATTAGTATCGCACCCTACATATCCTACCCAAAACCTTTTATTACTTTACGATTTTGTTTATATTTATCTCTCTAATTATTTTTATATTTATCTCTTCTTTCTCTCTATAATTATTTTTAATATTTATCTCTTCTTTCCCTCTCTAATTCTTTTTTTTAAAAATATTTTTTCTCTTTCTCTACATCTTTTTTCTCGCTAACTCTCTTTCTTTCTCTACTTACTTCATTACTGTTGTTTATGCAGCCATTAAAGTCCTTATGAGTGCTTCTAAAATGAAATGATATAGTGGAACATGAACTCAATGGAAGTGTGGTCCATGTGGACCATACTAAGCAAACGATGTTTGCAGATACCGGACTGTGCTTGATGATTTAAGCCAGTCGGTTGGAAAAAACCCATGTTACCTTGGCATAAAGAACAAACCGAGAAAGGTTCTAATTGGTTAGCCCTTGATGAGGTTGAAGAATATGCCCAGATGAGTGAGCGGTGGGACTGTGTGACCCTTGTGTGTGATGGTGACCTACAGAGACGGGGGCCAAAACCTCATCTATGTGCCATCACACGGCATACATATCGATAAATCATTCGGAAAGTCAGAAATCCACCTTTTAGGGTGAAGTGTATGCATGTGTGAGAGATACCTATATATACTATAGGAGCAGTGGTCGCATTAGGTCTAGGTGACATTGACTCGTCTTTAGAAGAGGACTTGAAATCCACAGACTGGGATTATGACCCCTTGGCACATCGGCCGGACTTTGGTGACGCGCTAATGAGCCCCTGCTTGGACTGTGGGTCATGGAAAATATTTGGTCTGTCTGATAAAACAAGCGTGGTCTGTAGTCCACAGTTGAAAGTGGAGTGACCCATGATTGTTGATTCCTGAACCATATGGATCTTTTTCCTATCAAATTAATTTAATTGTATTTGGTTTATGATGAAAATTATTTTAGGATTATTATTTGAATTTGTATGAACCCCTGAATATTTAATTTTTGGATTTATAAAATTAAAAATATTGATTTTACAATGGTTTAAATATTCAAATAATATTCTAAAATCTTTTTATTAATTTTAAATATATAAAAATATTATGAGGGCCCATTGTATGTATGGGCCCACCATATTTCTAGAACGTGGGGTCATAAGTGCCTCCCTTGGGTGGCACGCCCCACCCTTATTATCTTTCTTATTTTTTTTGGTGATATGACATGTGGGCATGTGGTTGGAAGATATTGACTAAATATTGACTTGATATATCTTTGAAAGATTTTGTTGAAAGATTTAGTTGACTTGTGCTATTTTATGGTATACACAATATTTTGATTAGATTTAATTTATTTAATTTCTATTGATAAGAATATGGTTTAGGAAAAGGGGATAATAGTTCATGCACTTTTCATAATGTTGATGACCCATTTATGGAATGGATGACTCAAATCTCTCACCCCATAACTCACCAAAGATCAATGATTCATATTCAATCTCATAAGAAGAGGCAAATCAAGGAAAACCCTAATAAACCCTAATTTTCTTCAAAGCCTATAAAAATGATTGTTTATAAAAAATGATTGTCTCTACCCAAAAATCTCTGCATCTTATCTCTTATACCTAATTCTCATTCTCTCTCATATCCCACAAAGAGCACGCCTCACTTAGAATTTCTCTCTCTTAAGAAAAGCTTCTATTTCTCATGAAAGCCAAAGGGTGCACGCACCACTCTCTCATCTTTGATCTCTCTCACACACATTGTGAAAGAACTTAAGGGTTTAGATTATGGAGTTCTTCTCTCTCTTATATCTCAACTATGGATTTATGACTAGGGGTTTTAGGGTTTAGCAAAAAGATAATTCATCTCTCTCAAACTAGGTTACTAAGAGAATTCACCTACGGTTTGAGTTTGTGATTAAAGGGGTTCATGTTCTATTGGTGTGGCTTGGCCGAAACTTGCTTTCCCGGTTAAGATTGAAAGTTGATCATTGATCCTACGCCATCGGATGGTGGTGACTCAGTGTGGGGTGTAATAACCGGTTGAGGTAATCTCTAACACTCTTCCTTTTGTTTCTTGCGATCTTATCTTTTATTCTCAAGCATAGTGCATAATTGTTTCAATGACATCAAGTTGTTAAAATCTAGGTTTTTTTTCTTATATTGATCTTATTTTGAAATTGATCTTATTATTAAAAAAAAAAAAGTATTCATCGATAAAAGATCACATAGGTCTTTCTTTCAATCACCTCAATAATCGCTATAACAACCTCGGCATATTATACCCTCCCTTATAAAAACTCCCTTCAACTGCATCAGTCGTTTACAATTATCTCGCCCATAAATTGCCGGAAAATTACTTGAGTGTCCAAGGCCAAACAGCTCTTTTTTGTATGTCCTTGGTACCAAAATATCGCCGAAAAAAACGAAGATTATTTTTTTGGCCTAGAACGCTGTCGAAATTTACAGAAAAACTCTTTTTCGTGGCCCTTGAGCACCAGAATCTCGCCAGGAATCATCTAGGCCTAAAGATTTTTGGTAATTGAAAGGGTGTCCTCTCTGACAAATTAGGATGCCACATACAACCTTACATATCTCTCACATACCGTTTACATATCTCTCCTTATTTTTTAGACATTATTTTTAAGAATCTCGTCCTATCCTATTTAAAAGGTGCCAAAGAATTTAGGGGTTTTGAAAAAGAAATTCCCCTCTCCTCCTACGTAACTCTCTCCATTTATCTTCAACTCCGTCTATCTATCTCCCTCAAGCAATAAAGGAAATAAATATATAGGAAATCCCCAAGTGGTTCTCTCTCTAGATATAGAGATAAAGATGAGGAAGAGATGTGATTCTAAATATAATGATACAAATCGAGAAGAAAAGGATCGGTTATCTTGGTGATGATCCGGTTGCAATGTTTATCTAGTCACCTCGGTTATCTTGGTGATGGATCCGGTTGCAATGTTTATCTAGTCACCGTCCCTATTCTTCCCCTTTCGAAAAGGGGGTAATTATATATAATTATAGCACTTTAAGTGCGGGTAGTAGATGATCAATTAATCACCGTTATGAAAGCTTGGGCTTTTATTCTAATTAGGTGAAAACTAAGGTATATTTTTGATAATTTTCCTATTTCTTTCTAGGACTCGTAGGGTGAATGAAAATTTTTGACCCTTCAAAAATTGGATGACCTCTTATCAATACGAGAATATTATTTATTTCGAGAACTTTCAAGTTGCTTGTGATTTTTCCTTCTTGTTTTTATTTTTATTTTTTTGGTGTTCTGTGGTCGCTAAGTTGACTCCGAGTATTTGGAATAACGTTTGAATGATGGTGATGGTGATGATGATTTTAAATTAGTTATTAAATTGAAGAAGTTAAATCCCAAAGTTTGGAATTCTAATAAGGGCGAGTCTCAAATGCTCCCACGTGGAGATAGAATCTTTGACACAATTTGATTATGATCAAAATAGAGCATTGAATTGCATGAATGAAAACGTTTATATAAAACATCAAATTGGGTTGCATATTAAATTTTTTTTTATTAGAAGACGTCGTTTTGATGTTCAAATATCTTTAAATTAATCATCTCGACTTCAATATGTATGGATAAGTAAAAAAAATGAATTTCAAATCCTAAAAATAATACATACCGTAATGTATTTTTAAGCAATCAATTCTCAAAATTTTCAATTTTTTATGAGTATGTTTAGTGTACATTATTTTTAAAATTTTAATTTTTATAATTACATATCAAAACACATTATAAAGCAATCACAAGGATATTCCGTATTGAAATCACATTTCTCGAGACGGTGCGCTTTACTTTGATTGTGAACACAGAAAGAAGGGTCACCATTTCAGATTAAAGTGTCACGTGGCAAGTTCTACAGCCACATAAACATGCTCTCTCTCTTTTCTCTCTTCCCCTTCCTTCTCTGTTTTCTCTCTCTCCCCCTCTCACATACTGCATAGCACTTTGAACAAGATGGATTACCAGATAAGGAATCAAATCAGAATCATGTGGAGTCTCTCTATGTCAGCACACCAGTAAGTAGGTATCAAAATCATTTGCAAAAGAATTCTAATAGAAAAAAATCTCTGCAATCCCCATTAATCCATGCACAGTTCTAGAGAGAACAACCCATTTCCAATAAATGCAAAATCAATAGAGAGAGAACCCAAAACCAATAATTTATATATATAGAGAGAACGCAATGCAAATATCAAGAGAGAAAGGACCCATATGCAAAAAAAAAAAAACTAGAGAGAGATATTAAAGGATTGATACCTTGGAAAGGATTGAGTCGACGAGATGATTGGGATCAGTCTGAAATGCGATTGAAGAAGCATTTGCTATTGCAATTCTTGACCTGTTCAAGGGGAGAAGAGAAGGAATTTTGCATGAAGCTCTATTAGGCTTTGAAGGACAAAATTGGGACTTGTAAATTCCAGTCTCTGGGCTCTTGAAAGCAGGGTAAAAAGGAAGGGAAGCCATTATTTGTTGTTGCTTGTCCCACTAATTTGGGGCCAGGATGGACTTATGTATCAAAGGGCCCAATGTATTTTCCAGAGAGAGAAACTTAGAGATACCCCATTCTTTCTTTGAAATGTCAAAATCATCCTAATCAATCTGCGAGTATACTTCATCTTTGTGATCCTGATGAGCCACATGCAAAAGTTAGCAACTTTCTCTCTATCTATTGATTGGATGGTTATCACCAGCTATAAAAAAAACGGTCGCACTCGGATAGGGAATGTCGACGATGTCAATCCTATTGGTCCGAGTCAGATTGAGGAAGTTTTAGTGAGAAAAATAGAAAACCACAGGATTTTTTTTTTTTTTTTATTCTCAAATTTCAAATTTTGAAGAAGTGATCTCTATAATATTTGCTAATCACTTCAAAGGAAAACAAGTTTTAACTCACTCTCTATGTGCATAGAAAGAAATATCATTCCAAGATTACATTGGAACCGCCCAATTTTTCGAGTGAATGATCTAGCTGCTTATAAACTCAAAATCTATTTTTTCCTTCCTTTGAAAATTATCATTTATTTATAATTAAATGAGCCTGAAACTTCAAATAAAAAATAATCTCTTGAGTTAGTGGTTTGCCCCAAACGAGTAAATGTACGTTACATGCTCTAAAATGAAAACATTACGAGAAATTCGAGACCCAAGTGATTTTGTTTTTTTTCCAGGAAGTGTATGGTTTTTGAAACCGAAACCCAAAATTTAGTGGAAAGGATACAAAATTTTGAGCTACACCAAGTGCTCTCTCTCTCTCTCTCACACACACACACCCAACACTAGTTGAGATGGTGTTCCAATTTTATGTAGTTTATATTATAGGATGTTAAAGTTATCATCAACATCAGAGTTTTCTTTTTTCAACTATTTGGGGTTAGCTAGACGAATATTGGTCTGCCATTCTGCTCTATCAAAATATTATACTCTTAGTGAGGCCATAGTCTTCATACCCTTTCTCACTACTTCTAATCATGTCTTTTGAGACTTATCCTTTGCCATTTTTAAGCCCTTCTATTTGAACCAACTCATACTTCTGAATAGGTATTATAGTAGGTCTACGCTGCACATGCCCAGCCTACCTAAGTGTTACTTTCTCTTATCTTAGCGATTATTTGAGAGCTACATCTAAGTTCTCTCGAATGCATTCATTTCAAAGTCTATTTAAAATTTTATCCCTTCTTTTTTTCCACTCATCAATCACAACATCTTCATATCACTTGTACTCATCCTATGGGTATGTTGTTTCATGATTGCCTAACATTCCGCCCCTTCAACTCATAGTTGCCCTATAGAACTTCCCATTCAGCTTCATTGATATGTGACAATCATATAAAATTCCAGTTGCACATCTCCACTTCGCCCATTCAAATCTATTTCTATACACAAATGCACAAGTTCCTTAATATCTTCATTTTTTTGGATTATTGATCCAAGATATCAAAAGTACATTCTTTTTAATATTTATTGGCAATCGGTCTTAATTACTTTATTGTCTCTACTCCTATTGTTACTAAACTTGTATTATATGTATTTTGTCTTAATTTAGCTAATTTTAAAAACCTTTAGATTCTAGAGCATCCTTTCAAAGTTCTAATTTTGTGCTGACACTGCTTTAGGCCTCATCGATCAAAACTATATAGTCCATAAATAACATACATTACATTAGCTCATCTTGTAGGCATCGAGTTAAGTTGTCCACAACTATGATGAAGAGGTGCTGACCCACCCCTGATGAAGACCTATCGTCATTGAAAACTCATTCGCCTCTCTACTGGTTGCTCACGTACTAGTTAGTGCTCCCTCATAGATATCTCTCACCAAGTTGATATAACATATAGAGACTCATTTCTTTTCCAATACCCACTAAATTAAATCTCTAGGTACTATATTATAAACCTCCTCTAGATCAAGTCTCGTTAAAGCCAATTCGTTGTCCTTTGGTTTATTTACCCAAAGAAAATAAGTCCTTAGGATTGTCTAGAAGAGCTTCGGGGCTTCGACCAATTCTAAGTAGACTTGGGACTTTCTTCTTAAGTATTTTTTAAAGGAAAAAGTTTATATTGTGCCGAGGCTCTAAACAACCAAATTTGAGCCTACCTTAAAAATTTCACTAAAAGAGGTTGTTTTGATGCCCAAATATTTTCAAATTGATTATCTTGATATCAAGATGCATGGACAAGAGAAAAAAATGGATTGCAAGTTTTGAAAATAGTGTATTTTATAACGCATTTTTGCACCGTCAATTTTCAAGATTTTGAAGTTTTCATGCATACGTCGATCTACACTATTTTTGAAGCTTTAGATTTTATAAATAAATGTGAAACTCTATTTTAAGGTTATCACAAATATTTCCAATATTAAAACCACATCTCTCGACACTCTTTGAAGGTAAGCTCTAATTTGATTGTTCAGAGCCTGGGCTCTATACAAACCAAACCCTTTTTTAAATGACATTTCATAAAGATACAAGTATGACATTGCTAAAGAAAAATAATAAAAAAGATTATGTTAATTTTCTAAGATAGTTGAGAAATATAATGATGTATGTGTTTTCACCGAAAATTGACCCTAGGGAGGGCCTGTCCTGGCCAGGGCTGGTCCAAGGGTGGCCCGGCGCAGGTTTCTCCCTGGAGCAGGCTTTAGACAAACCCATAGGATAACTACACGGAGTCCATCTATTGTGTATGGTTAATGGTTATTGGTTTGGCATGGGATACCCCTTGGGTTTTAGGCCCTGTTTGGTAGCATCTTTTAATAGCTTGTTTAAGAGTGAGTTTCCTTAATGGTTGCCTCATTTGTTATTAGGACGCCGCCAAAATGCCTGTAAGTTAATTAGAGAAATTTATCTAAATACACTTATATTTGAATAAGGATTGTATATAATATTATAATGTGATTATTTACTTTTGGTATAAGAAGGTCACAATTATTGACTATCGTCTGATGTGAAATCTGACAGCTTGGATATGTCATAAAGTTCAAAAAAAATTTATTTTGAACTTTGAGCTTGGTCAATGAAATAAAAGCAGTCACTCAATTTCACATCCAATGGTCACTTTTATTTGTACCACTTTGTACCAGAGGTAAATGGTGCAGTCCCCCAATTTCACATCCAATAATCAAGTTTAATTGTACCATTTTATACTAAAGGTAAATGGTCTCAACATATACTTTCTCTTGAATTATTTAACATCTTGTATTTTTTTTAATCTAATTTTAGACTGCTTATCATTCTCTTAGTCGAATTTCGACTAGCCTATCAATGCACATCAAAATGAATTTTGAAATTTATCATAACATACCTTCGGAAAAATGTGAAATAGCTAAAACGTTAGATATATATTTTCTTTTGGGGTGTGTTTGCATAAGGTAGCAACCTTAAAGTAATCAAAGTATGTAATTTTTGTTTCGAAAATTCTTAAGATGGCCCAAGAATTTGTTTTTATCTTTAATTATAAGATTTTAAACTCCAAAAGTAGTTCAAATCAAGCAGAACTTTAAACGCATGAAAATCTTGAAAATGGTTGGTTCAAATAATGCATTTCAATATGTACTATTTTTTAGATTTGAAATCTTTTTTTTTTTTTAACCCACTTCCATACATCTTGACTTCAAGATGATCTATTAGATGATTTTTTAATATTAAGGCAACCTTTTTTGATAGAATTTTGAGGTGCACCTTAATTCCACAATTTAAGGTGTCAACCTTGTATAAAGGTTTTTCTTTGGCATGACTAAGAGCACCAAAATAACAATATTTTAGAATTTAGCTAACAAAGATAGAATAGCTCTCTCTTTATTAATTAATCAAGAAATATACAAGACCTCGTACAAATATATGGCCGGTAACAATTCAAGATAAATATCGACGAGTTATGGATAATTACTAACTAATCATATCATAATCAAGAGACACCTAATTAAGAGATATATACCCATACAAATACATCAATACTGATACTGATGTGGCAGTGATCTTTATGCTCAGATTGCTTGAACAACAAGCACATAATGACACTTGGAAGAGCCAACAGAACTCGGTGTGGATCCAAAACAGATTCAGCAACTCGCAGTCGGTGTGGATCCAAAGCAGATTTAGCAACTCGCAGTTCGAGACAGATTCAACAACTCGCAGTCCGAGATAGATTCAACAACTTGTAGTTTAGAAAACAGGCCAAAACAGAGACAAAATGCTGTTTTGCAGAGTCGAAACACAACTTGGAGGCTTTTGGCAATGCTTCCTTGGTCTATGAGTTTCTCTCACTAAGCTGAGAGTGTTGATTGATTAAACCATGGACGAAGATGAGATCTAAAGTTTTTGGACGAAAAAGAGAGCTTAAGTTTTTGCGCAAAAGGGGGGAAAAATCGAGAAAGGAGACGAGGCCCTGAATTGGATTTAATTGAATTTGAACCGCGCACCATGGATACAAATGTAAGGAAATTCACAGGAAATCGAAGCCGAGTAATTTAGAGAGAGAGATGATCGATGGGTTGTAAAGGGATCAAAAGATGGGATGTAGCGTGAAGCTCATATTAATAACATGTAAAGTGAATAAGGAATCTTGCCCATATTAATAACAAGTAAAACAAATAAGGAATCTTATTCTGCGCACAAAAACACTATGGGAGCCGTTGATTCCTGCCCTAATTTCCCTTATGACCTTTCACAGAGGAGTGATCCTGATCCTAAGGTCGAAAGTTTGTGACTCTCTCACCCCACCACAAGGAAGAAACACAGAGAGAAAAAAACCTAAGTTAGAGAGAGAAAGGGTGCAGCTGTTTGACAGAGAGTTGGAACGAATATGAAACCGAGCTCAGATCTGACAATCGAGCTCAGATCCAACAACCTAGAGTCGGAATGAATTTGGTACCGAGCTCAGATTCGATAATCGAGTTTAGATCCGACAACCTCAAATCTGCGCACCTCATATCTATAATCTTATCGTAATCAAAAGACACATAACTAAGAGATATATATCCATACAAATACATATCCATACTGATATG